TCAAGGGTAAGTTTCAGAGTCTCTTCTAACATCCATTTTGGTCTTTTCTTCCATTTCTATCTTTTAAATGACCTCTTGCTTTCTTCATGGATGATCTTCTTGATGTCATCCCACAACTTGTTTGGTTTTCAGTCACTGGTGTTCAATGTGTCAAATCTATTCTTCAGATGGTCTCTAAATTCGGGGGGGGGGGGATATAATCAAGGTCATATTTTGGATCCCCTGGACTTGTTTTAATTGTCTTAAGCTTCAACTTGAACTTGCCTACCAGCAACTGATGATCTGTTCCGCAGTCAGTTCCTGGCCTTGTTTTGGCTGAATATTTTGAGCTTCTTCATTGCCTCTTTCCACAGATGTGGTCCATTTGATTCCTGTGTAGTCCACCTGGCAAAGTCCACCTGTATAGCTGCCGTTTATGTTGTTAAGAAAAAGGTATTTGCAATGAGTAAGTTGTTGGCCTTGCAAAATTCTATCATGTGATCTTTGGTATCATTTCTATCATTAAGGCCATATTTTCCAACTACTGTTTTCAACTACTGTTTCCAGCTTTCACATTCCAATGACCAGTCAATACATCTTGATTACATGTTTGGTCATTTTCAGACTGTACAAGTCAGTAAAAGTCTTCAATTTCTTTGTCTTTGGCTATAGTGGTTGGTGAGTGTAAATTTAATAGTAGTATTAACTGTTTTTCCTTGTAGGCATATGGATATTATCCTATCACTGACAGGATAGATCTTGAAACATTCTTTGTGACAATGAATGCCACACCATTCCCCTTCAATTAATCATTTCCTGCATAGTAGACCATATGATTGTCTGATTCAAGATGGCTAAAACCAATCCTCTTCAGGTCACCAATGCCTAGGATATCGAACTTTATGCATTTGACTTCATTTTTGACGATTTCCAATTTTTCTAGATTCATACTTCATACATTGCATGTTCTGATTATTAATAGACGTTTGCAGCCATTTCTTCTAACTTTTGAGCCATGCTCCATCAGCAGATGGAGGTCCCAAAAGCTATATTCCATCCATGTCATTAAGGTTGACTCTACTTTAAGGAGGCAGCTTTTCCTCTGTTTTATTTTGAGGGCCTTCCAAACTGAGGGGCTGATCTGGCATTGTATCAGGCAAAGTTTCAGGGATATTCATAAAATTTTCCAGTAACATATCAGACAGTGCTTTATTGCTATTCATATTTATACCCTGCAGGTATCTGAAATACCAGTGGCATTGCCTCCATACTAACAGCAGCATGCAAGCCACCACAGTACTACAAACTGACAGATGAGTGGTGGAAATCAACCTACTAAGATGTAATTCTATAATAATAAAACTAAGGGCTGGTATTATTTCAAGAATCTAGTGATTATAATTTAGTTATGATTTTATGGATTATTTTATAGTACTATGAATTATTGTAACAGTAATAAAGTATTTAGAAGTTCATTTTAAAGATTATCTGTTAATTTTACAAGAGATTTTTAAAACAAATCTAGTTTCCAAAATAGTCCCAGTCCTCAAATTTCAGAGACAGAAAAACCATCTTTATTTTACAGGTGATACATTAAGGTCAGAGAAGTTAAACAGTATGCTCCAAATCATTTAATGTAATTTTATCGCCAATATTTAGATCCACACTTTGCTTGTCTGATACTATTTCTGTAACAGTACTAACAGCTTTTATCATAGCTATCTAGATCTTTCTTCATATTTAATTGGTATATATAGATTTTATTAACTACTTTTAATAAAACTCTCAACATATATGGAATAAGGCAAGTAATGGTAGATTAACAGAGGTGACCAAAAAGGCATGGATTTTACTAGGTATTTGGGATGAATTAATTATCTTTGCTGAAAACGAAATTTGCCTTTCCAATTCTTGGCAGGTTAGAAATAAAGGGAAATGGATCACATAGTTATTACTGTTTGGCTAAAAACAACAAAAAAGAGCAAATACTTTATCTCTCCAACTCAAAAACCAAACTCACTGCCATCAAGTTGATTCCAACTCATAGTGACCCCCTTTGTGTTTCCAAGACAGTGTATCTTTATGGAAGCAGATTGCCCAGTCTTCCTTCCATGGAGTGGCTGGTGGTATGTCTTTCCTCATAAGAACAGACCTTGGGCTGCTGCTGCTGATTCTGTCTTCCTCTTGTGTAGTTAGAGGTGGTGAGAAGATGCCATCTCCCAGCCCCTTTTACACTAATATATTTTTAAAACGAAATTCATGGTACAATTTGTTTAATGGACCTTTGTATAATATGTAGCTATACTGTCTAAATTTTGTAGAATATAAAAATACTGTTCAACTAAACTCATATACTCCTTAAGGGTTATCATTAAGCTAGAAAACTACTATGTAAAATAGTTTTATTAACATTAAGTCCTTAATTACTTAAATTCTTTTCCTATGAGGTAATTTTCTATTCTTTGTCTAAATTTCTTACATTATATTTTTCATTGCTAAATAAATAATATAAAAATAAAGAAAAAAAAAGTTGAAGGAGTTACCTGAAAACCACCTTCATTGAGAGCTCTGGCTCCATATGCAATTCTTTTTCCACCTTCTAGCGTTGGCTGAATGCTGGGATGGTGTTTCCACCTCTGGAACTCTCTAAATGGGCTCAGGTATGGATTTTGATAATCTAGACCAACCTTTACAAATTTATATTTAAATTTGATATATTTATACAATGATACACTTTTATTTCAAATTAAATCAAGCTAAAAATCTGCACCATTTGAAAATAATACAATAGCATAAAGCATATAGGTTGAATTTCTTATATTCAAATTATTTGGAGAAATATATGCAACAAACCAAATTTAAATAAATAACTGAATAAAATCTGTTTGGAAAAGAGAGAGTGCTTTGGACATCAAAGTCCAAATAAAGAAAATATCTGTAGGTAAGCATCTCAGATTATGTTTCTACAAAAGGAACTGCAATGATTTATTATTCATACCAACTCTAGAAGTAAACTGAAAATCTATGTTACAGTATACAAAATGGATGGAGTCTCACTTAGAAAAAAAGAGGACAAGGAATATAAAAGGTTACATATTACAATGTATTTCCAAAATGCTGAAAATAACCAAATCTTTTGCTTTAATAAGATTAAGGCACTGGAGTAAGTACACAAAACCCAAAAACCAAACTCATTGTCAGCAAGTCAATTCTGACTCACAGTGAACTTATAGGATAGAGTAGAACTGCTCCATAGGTTTCTAAGGCTGTCACTCTTTATGGAAATGGACTGCCACATCTTTCTCCCACAGAGCAGCTGATGGGTTCAAACCTCTGACCGTTTGGTTAGAGGCCAGATACCTTAACTGCTGTGCCACTAGAGCTCCTTAAGTACACAAAGGTGATAAACAAAACATGACTGAGAGTCAAAACACACTAATAACGCATAAGTTTAACAATATAGCATATACAGACCCAATAATGACACTAAAATATACAGCAATTGCAAAGTGCAGACATTTTAAGTATTAAAATTTTTCCATTCTTTGTACTGTTCAAGATGAAATTTATGGCAAGGATATACATGGCCAAGAAAGAAGAAATTACTTGAGGTTCAAAAAAGATACAGGTATAAACCCAGTACTGATTTCATTTTCAGTGACAGCATGCCATAGTGGAAAAGAGTTTTGAAGCAACGGAGGTTCAGATCAGAATACTAGCTTTGCCATATGTTGTTGATTTTCAACTCACTGAGAACCACTGTGACAGAGTAGAACTGTCCCATAAAGTTTTCTAGACTGTAATCTTTACAGGTACAGATTACCAGGTGTTTTGTTCTATGGAGCCAATGGGTGGGTTTGAACTGCCAACCTTTTGGTTAGCAGCCATGTGCTTAATCACTGCGCCACCAGGGCTCCTTTTATCATTTAAAAAAAAAAACCCAAACTCACTGCCATCGAGTCAGTTCTGATCATTTAGGAACTTAACTTGTTTGGATCTCAGTTTTTTCATCAGTAAAATAAGGATATATCTATTTCATAGAATTCTTATGAAGCTTACTTAGTAATCATAGTAAAAACATCTGGCACAGTTTCTTGCATATAGTACCTACTGTTACAACAGCTACGTGCATTCAAGTAGTAAGAGTGTTGATAATATCTGTAGCACTTTAGATACAGATAAAATTAAAAGCTTTACATGAAAAGCATTCTACATTTGCCAGATTCAAATCCCTCATTTTATAACACTAATGATCCTATGATTCTAATGGTAGAACTTTCCACATAGGGGCTAGGACTTACCACAAAGCCAAGAGCTATCATGGGTTCCCCTTCATTTAAATGATAGAGAAAAGATCCTCCATAAGTATGTCTGTCCAAGGGCCAGCCAACAGTGTGATCTACTCTCCCAGGTTTCCACTTCTTTTCATCAATAATCCATAACTTAAAATAAAAAATAGTCCTGGAATATTACTTAAATGTTTTATGTCACCACAATACATAAAACATGCTAAGTTTTATGTCTTATTTAGGAAAATTACAAATGTGAAAAGTGTAACGATAATATATACAAAAAGAATGCTCCAAATATCAAAGAATTATATTAAGCTGTACCATGATGACTCAGAGTTAACAAACAGGTTAGAACAAAGTTTATTAGTGGTTATTGGGGATGGAAGAGAGGAAGAAAAAGTCATAGCTTATTGGGCACTTAGCTGCTGCTGAACGTGAAAGGTGATGGAAAAATTTGGAAATGGATAGTGATGATTGCAGAACATGATGAATATAATTAATGTCACTGAACTTTACATATAAAAATGTTTTGTTATAGATATACTTACCATAATTATAATAATAATTCTTTACTCATACAATGAATCAGAAAGCAGATCTTGGCTTCTCATCACAGTTTATAAGTCAAACTTTGTAATAAAGAATAGAGAGCAAATCAAAGTGGCTAGTTCAAGGAGGGTAGAGTTTTAAAAGAAAAAATAATGATTGGGCAATCTACTGCCATAGATAATGCCTCAGAAACCCAAGGAGGGGTTGCTATGAGTCGAGATCGACTTGATGGCAGTGTTTTTCATTTTTTTAAAGTGGCCAAGAGTCAGTATTTTTGAAGAGAGCAGACTTTCAGTAACTGTGTCCCTTATCCTCTACAACTATGGTGCCTTTGGATCAAAGCACTGGCCTTCATAAAACCAAACCAAACCAAGCCTTTAGTAAGCTGTTTTAAAATGAAAATATTACATAGGAAAAGTGACTCTAATTAACTATTTCTGAATTAACATACCAGGTAATCTTTTTTAACAGGAAGTTGAGCAAGCTTTTGGGAGAGATACTCAGGTTCATTTTGAGGATGGTGTTAAAGATTATAGGGAGAACAGATCCCCACAAATGATAGTATAAGTAGGGAGAGGACCTGGAAATCTGGAAGAAGACTGGATATCTGACCATTAGAGGTTGAGGTGGGCATGAATATTGGAGGAAAAGAAAAAAGAGGTCAGAAAACTTAAGAACCTTTTACGGCATTATACAGATTCTCAAATTGCATGTGACTTTCATGTGATTACTGGAAAGTGCTGAAAAAATGAGAAAAATTTCTGAGGTGCTAGTAATGTTTTCTATCTTGATCTGAGTAGTAGCTCTATAGATGTGTTCACCTTGTAAAAACTAATCTAGCTGTAAACTTAAGATCTGTTCCTTTATAGTGTCTATGTTACACTTCAATAAAACAGTTTACTACCTCCTACCGCTCCCCCACAACTGCGCAGATCATTCATCCTATTTTCAGATGGGTAAGTTTTAAATTTTAAACACAATTTCTACCTGAAATATTATCTGAAAATCAGGATACCTCTTTTAGTCCAATTCCATAGGTTTGGGGATCACAATTGGCCCTCAAATCAAACTTCTTATATAGCTGCTTGGCTAGATGACCATGACAACCTTCTGCAAAAACGGTGACTTTGGCATGTAGTTCTAGTCCTCTTTCAAATGTTGTCTATAAAAGCAAAAATATTTTAGAAATACTGAATTACAATATTTGACAATTTAAAATACAGTCACATTCAGGTCAGTTTTGAGTTGAACTCTGATGCCAATACAGAAGAGACATTGCAAATAAATAATACCAGAAATAAAACTATTCTAAGTAGAATCTAAATTTTATAATATGTCTTGTGTCATTTGCTGTATTTTTTTCCTTAAAAATTACTTGAATGGTTAAGTTTGTACAAACTTAAATAGCAAATAAAGTGTGTCTGAATAGTGTGCATTATCTCATTAATTTATATCTTTGATGCTTGAATATTTTTTATGTTTATTGGTTAACTTCAAGTACATTTAAACTATTTTGTTCTTGCCTCCTTCCCTTCATTATACTGCACTCATACATAATCCATGCAAACAACCTAGTATGTACAGTTTTACATAAATACATATACACACACTGAGAGATACCTATGCACATCCTCCTCTATATTTTAAATCATCTGTAGATTACTTATATTTAATACAACGTAAATGCTATGTAAAGAGCACTTTATGTTCCCTCTTACTTTGACCACTTAAGTACTTTTGCCATTTTTTACAGAAACAAAGGTTACACACAACACATGTAATGAATGAACTAGATATGAGGCAAACAATGCTCAAATAACCAGTGCTAGAGAGAGACTGAGGATCTTTGAACTGGTGGGAAGCTACAGCAGGGTATGCCTACACATCACCTCATTTGCATGGATTCAGTGCAGTGCTTGACATGCAGTAAATTTAAGTTTTTCTTTTTGGAGCTTTCTGGAATCCTCCCCCACCTCCAAATAGTTTTGATCTGTGGTTGGTTGAATCCACAGATGCGGAAACTACAGATACAGAAGGCTGACTGTATACTTATACATAAACTTTTTTTGGTCCTCATTTATTTCATAAAAATAGTGTCATATAATACACTTTCCTATATCTTACTTGTCTTACTTACTTCCTCATAAGAATCTTTTCAAGTCACTGTATAGCTCATATCCATCCCTTTAATAGTTGGATAGTCGTCCATATGGATATACCATAGGTTATTCAGCCATTCTGCTATGTATAATAGCCATTCACTCTGTTTCCAGGTTATTTGTGACTATAAACAATGTTATATATAGAACATAAACATACATATTCTTAAAATATTATTGCTTTTAAGATGGATTCCCAGAAAGGGCACTGTTAGGTCAAATGTACATCTATTTTTAATAGATATTACCAGATTCCATTCCAAAATGCCTGAAGCAGTTCATATTTCCACCAGCTGTTTAGAAACCCTTTTCCCTATAGTCTAGTTAGTGAGAGATAAAATTAATCTTTTAAAATTTGTTACTGTCACATGTAATGTTAACTTGCTGTTAATTTGTACTTCACTATTTTCAACATCTTTTTCTTTTTGACTCAAGAAATATTAAATAAATATCTATAATATTCCAAAGGAGCCTTGGTGGCGCAATGGGTAAGTGCTCACCTGCTAATAAAAGTATTGGTGGTTCGAACCCACCAGTTGCTCAGTGGGAGGATGACGTGACAGTGTGCTTCCATAAAGAGTATAGCCTCAGAAATCACTTCGGCAGTTCTATTCTGTTCTACGGAGTCTGTTTGAGTTGGAAGATGACTTGATGGCAATAGGTTTAATGATCCAAGTTTGTGCTAGACATTAGGAGGGATGGATGAAAAACGACATGTTTCCTGCCCTCAAACTAGTCAGAGAGGCAGACACTAAATAAATCACGGTTATATACTTACAAACTGTGATTAGGTGCTATGCAAGAAGGATGTTATAAAAGAGAATAGTAGGAGGAAACTATTCTGGACTGGGTGCACAGGAAAAGCCTCTGTAAAAAAATGACATTTAAGGTGTGAACTCCAAAAAGAATTTAAGTAGCTTTTCTTATAATTAGTAGCCACCTGGATTTTCTCTTCTGTGAACTGTCCATTTTTTAAACCCTGTCCATTTTCCTAATACGGTATCTATCATTTTTCCTGTCACTGTATAAATGCCCTTTGATATTACAGACAGTCAACCTTTTTTTTTAACCTCCTTTCATCCACAGTTAATTTTGCTGTACAAAAGTGTTTCATTTTTATATAGATAAAAAGTGTCTACCTCTTTTTTTTTTTTTAAGTTTTTAATTTCTTGTCTTTATAGGATGGTTTACCTTACCATTAGGTTTTAAGCCTTTAATCATCAGGACTTTTTTTAATGAGGGTCAAACTCTGTTTGCTTCCTAATGGACATACAGTTTTTCCAACAATACTCATAAAACAATTTGATCACTAAGTTCATTAAGAACTAAAATATTACTTACTATACTTCTATATCCTCTTAGAGGCAGAATGCCCTTTAGTGCTTAAAAAGCATAGGCCTAGGAGCCACACTGCCTGTATTCAATCCTGGCTCTATTCCTTACCAGCTGTCTGCCTTTGGGGCAGTTACTTAACCTATGAAACTTAAAACTTCCAAATTAGATATAATTTGGTGGAGCTAGTGAATAGGCAGTAGGCATATGATTCTAGTATTAAGAGAAAAGCAATTTAAACCCCTGTGATGATATGAGGTCACTATGAAGGAAATATAGATAAAGGACTCAACGATGAGCCTCAGGGACCTAATGTTTAGAGGGCAGGAAGAAGAGCAAAAGCAACAAGAGGAGGGGCCAGTGAAATACAAGGAAAATTAAAAGAAGATGGTGTGAAGAGGCAAATTAAGAAAATGTGTCAAGAAAAGTTATTCAACAATGTCAAATGTCAAGTGAAAGAAGACTAAGAACTGATGAAAGTGTGACTTTGATAAGAGCTGTTTCAGTGAAATGTCAGGGAATAAGGTCTAACTAAAGTGGGTTAAGTAGAGAAGGGAACAATAGAGTAAATAAATCCTTGATTCTCCCTACACCAAACTTGTGGTACTAAAATAGTTTCTTTTTGAACCTAAATTATGGGGCTTAAATTACTTAAGACTCTTCTGTGGTTCTATTTTTATATAAAAGCAACATACAAAAATGATAAATATCTCTAAGTCAAAGCATACAACATTAAAAAATGTATTAGAAGAAATATCCTAGGTCCTTTTAACAAAAAAAAAAAGAAATAGTAGAATGGTAGAATTTGCTCCAATTTTATTACAATATTGTATATAGATTTTTTAAAAAAAATCTAATTTATAATTTATATTATCATAATAAGGAAAAGAAAAACCAACAATATTTTTTTTTATTCTAATGAGAAGCAATATGAAATAATGTAGTTGTTTTCAAACCTGGCTATGCATCAGAGTCCCCCAAGGGCTTGTTAAAATATGAGCTTCTTGGGACCTACTGCAGGACAGCTGAGCCCTAAACCTTACATGATTTTGGTCTAGCCAGTAAAACCACTAGAACAGACCCTGAAGTAGGTAAGAGATAGAGCATTGCCACTTGTTTTCTAAGCAGGAAGTAAAGATGTAGGAGGATCTGTTGGAAGAGACACTAGCCTAGACTCAACTCTGCCTGAGAGTGTCAGAGAGGAGGACAACCAATGAGTATTAACTGAGAATCTAATATGTGCCTGGCATTGTACTAGGAACCTAGCAACACTCCATGATCTTGGCCCTCATGGTGCTTGTAAACTAATTGGAAAATCAGACAATAAACAAAAGGCCACAACCGTCCCCACCCCCAACTCACAAGTAAAAATTTTCTTAATGGATTTCTAAACAGACTGACCAAATAAAGAGTTATCTTCTGGCTGCCCACGGCTCACTGGAAAATAGCTACTGGTAGGTGATTCTCTAGCATACCCAGCCATTGCTGCTCTTAGTCATCAGCTGAGTTGTCTGCTTTCTAAGAGTCACTTATGTTTGTTCCAAAATTGGTTAATACCAATTTTACTTGCTAATTTCCTATTAGTAAATTGATAAAATACATTACTGTAATATTGGTATGAGGCAGGAAAACAAAGTTAGCTATTTTAGATTAGGTGGTTATATGAAGCTATATGATATAAAGGGACATTTGAAGTGATACCCCAAAATGAAAAGGAGTTTGATTGATGAAGTAGAGAAAGTAGGTTATTCTGAGGAATAAGAAAGTAACCTCGTTTAGGTAAGAATGGCATGGAATGAAGCAGGACAAGTATGGTATCTTGGGTAGGTCCTTGAGTTTTTTTCTAAACACAAAGGGATGCCACTGGAAAATTTTAAGAGGAATGATAGTACCAGTTGCCGTCTAGTTGATTTTGACTCATAGTGATCCACAGTGTGTCAGAATAGAATGGTGCTCCATGGAGTTTTCGACAGCTGATTTTTCAGAAGTAGACCAGCAGGCCTTCCTCCTCGGGCTCCTCTGGTTGGACCTGAACCTCCACCCTTTGGTTAGCAGCCAAACATGTAACTGATCAGATAATTTAATCCACTGAGATATAACTTGTGTTCTGTTTTCAGATATTTTTTTGCAAATTCAAAATACAAGTTGTGAAAACCTGGAAACCATCCACGTTTACATTTTAAATGAGAAAGAAGCAATCAGTTGTGTATCCTCCAAAAGATATTAAAATCAGGTCAAAGACTCTTTTGCCTACTAATAATGACCCAAAAATTCTTAACACAGAAATGAAAATTGTGGAGGTAAAGATGCTGTTAGACTACATACATGAAAGCATGTTTTTAAAATTTTTCTTTGAACTACTTGTAGTATCTTATTGATTTCCTGATTAATTAGTTAAATAAAATCTTTGATGTGTTCATTTTATAAGTGAGTCGTGTTTTTATCTTTTTTTTTAAAAAAATTATCTTTTATATATATGTTCACTTAAATCATGTTTATTATAAAGCTGCTTCTGAATTTTTCAACAATAAGAGGAAAATCCCACTTTAATTAATTATATTTTAATATCCACTTAGTTTACATTGCATTTAAGTCATTTCATTTTTTTATGTCAGTTTCTGTCAGCTACATAACTACTAAAACATTTACCTTTGGTGCACCATCCTTTTGAATCCCTACATCATTAGTGGCAATCCCTTTTACACTACCATCTTCATGAAAAAGAATCTAAAAGGACAAAAATAAATTAGTTATCATTTTAAGGTTCATAATAACCTTGAAAAGAAACAGCAAATAGTGTTAGACTTTAGAAAGTGAACATGTGTTCTAGCTTACATTAAAACAGACTATAAAATGTTTAGAGACACGTTTTGAAGCCCTCCCTTCTATAGTATAAAGGAACATAACTCAAATAGTTGGAAAAGATGAGGAAAAAAATGCCACAATCTTGATGAGGACAAAAATGGGGAGGCTACAAGAGAAGCTGGAGTCACTGGGTGGTGTGAACAGTTAAAGCACTGGGCTGCTAACAGAAAGGTTAGAGGTTAGAGTCCACCCAGAGGTGTCTCTGAAGAAAAACTAGCCACTGAAAAGCTTATTTGTGCACAGTTCTCATACACATGGGGTCACCATCAGTTGGAATCACCTTTACAGCAACTAGTTTAAGTTAGTAACTCTCTCACTGCTGTTGAGTCAGATCCAACTCATAGGGACCCCTCCTTGGGTTTCCGAGGTGGTATCACTATGGAAGTAGATCGCCCAATTTTACTTCTAAGGAGTGGCTGGTGGGTTTGAACCACCAGCCTTCTGGTTAGCAGTCAAATGCACTAGGCCACCAAAGCTCCTGGTTATTAACTGGATAGATTATTAAAGAAATAAGTAAGATTAAACAAAAAGCTCTCTGAGAGTTTGGAAAGCAAAAGCCAGTGCAGAGAATCTGAATTAGGGAGAGAGTAAGTAGAGAGAGAAAGAGTATCAGGAAAGCCTATTTCCCAAATGAGCTGTCGTTGTTGTTGTTGTGTGCTATCGAGTCGGACCCGACTCATAGCGACCCCTCCTCCTTGGGTTTCCAAGGCAGTATCACTACGGAAGTAGATTGCCCAACCTTCCTTCCGAGGAGTGGCTGTGGGTTTGAATCGCCAGCCTTCTGGTTAGCAGTCAAGTGCCTTAGGCACTATGCTACCAGAGCGCCTCCCAAATGAACTAAGACACTGAAAAAACAAAAAATAAAATAAAACAAACAAAAAACAAAAAAGAGGCTGAAGACAGCTCAAAGATGATTAAAGTTATTTTGGGAACAAGAAGGAATGAGGAAATTAAGTAAAAGGTATAATTCTGCGGATGAGAAATAGCAATGCTTTTTTTCTTTTTTCACTTTTATGTGGTGAAAACATAACAACTTCCCCATTTACAGCTCAGGGACACTGATGACATTTTTCATGCTGTGCCACTATTATTGCTTTCTTTTTCCAAAATATTCCACCACCATCAGCATAAACTCAATGAACTAAGAAAGAAAGTTTCCTTCTATATATAAACCTTTCTTTGACTTCTTACAATAGGGAACTAATACAATATTTGTCCTTCTGTGATTGACTTATTTCATTCAGTATAATGTCCTTCAAGTTCAGCCATGTTATGCAGTGTTTTGCAGTTTCTACATTGTTCTTTATTGTTGCATGGTATTCCATTGTGTGCATGTACCACAGTTTGGTTATCCATTCCTCCACTGATGGACACTTAGGTTATTTCCATCTCTTTACTTCTGTGAATAGTGCTGTGATGAACATGAGTGTGCATATATCTATTTGTGTCCTGGCTCTCACTTCTTTAGGATATATATCTAGTAATGGGATTGCTGGATCAAATGGTATCTCTATTTCCAACTTATTAAGGAATTGCCATACTGATTTCTACAGTGGCTATATCATTTTACAGTTCCACCAGCAGTTTATGAGAGTCCCAATCTCTCTACAACCTCACCAGCATTTGTTAAGAAGTAACAATCCTCTTTAATCCTTACTTATTTCTGTTTCTTCTCTGGTGGAAAATGATCTTTGGATAACAAAGTATAAAATGTACACTTAAATCACATGAAAGACTGTAAGAAAACTCAGAAGTGGAGAAGTAAAATAAAAATTACCAGCGACAGAAAAATATAGAGTTAATATTTGATACCTTGAAAATGAATGTGGCTATGAACTGGAATTGAAATCTGGTTTAGAGTACCAGGAACTGCCACATACATCCTTCATCTATTGATCATGATTTTTAAGGAACTGTGGTAGTTAAGTTGTGTGTCAACTTGTCTGGGCCTGGTTTTGAGTGGCTGGGCAGCTTGGTGTAGTTATTGCCCATGATGAGACTGGTTATCAACTCCATGGTGGAATCTCTGTGAGCAGCTGTGATAGTTGGAGCTGTGTGTCAACTCATGCTAGTAAAGAGAGCCCTACTAATCCGTGGCGTGAGGTGGCAAAATTAATATGCAAAATAGCGCCACCAATAGATCACGTACTTGTGAGAAGTGATGCTCTGGGTGATCGGATATTTGATATTTTTCTGCAATTCTGTCAGAATGAGGAGCATAGGGAAGCTGGTTGGTTGGTCCTAGCTACTGGATAAATTGGTGGGAGAGCGAGATGGGCTCAAAGCTGCTGAGTCTCGGCTTAAGCGCTGCATGGATGATCTCAGTGCTTCCAGGTGTGCTTTGAAAGAAAGCCTTATAGCTTCTACTACCAGGGCTGACATAGGTGAAACTCAAATCCAGAGTCTTATTGTAAGAGTGGCCAATTTACAACGCGTGCTCAATTGCCAACCCAGAACGGTGTCTGACGTTAAAGTGAGGGCATTGATTGGAAAAAAATGGGATCCTGTAACCTGGAATGGGGACATATGGACAGATGA